GGAGAGACAGAGGCCCTTGGCGTGGCAGTGGGCAGCTGTCCACATGCAGCCGGTCCACAGTCGCAAAAGGGAGGCCCGTTTTCTCCTGGTGAGGCCCGTCTCTGGGAGAGGCTTTGGTCGTCGCCCGCTGGCCACCCTCGGGTCTGGGTGGACTGTGACGAGGAGCCTCTTGAGACGGGTCTGCGAATAGTCTCTAGCCGCCACGGCACAGGAGTAGGGGGTACCAGGCTGGTGGGCAGCCTTGGTGAGTGTGTCCGCCTTCTCGTTTCCAGCAATGCCCAAGTGGGGTGAGGGCAGCCAGTGGAAGGAGACGGACACCCCGGCGTCGGTGAGGGACCGAACCTTGGCTGTCAGGAGGCAGGCCGTCAGTCCGGCAAGGCGGGAGTTGGCCAGGGTCTGCAGGGCTGCCTTGCTGTCACACAGGACCGCGGCCGGCTCAAGGGGGATGTCCTGAGCCAATAGGTCTACCGCGAGATGGAGTCCAGCCAGTTCCGCAGCCGTGGAGCTCGCCCGGAAGGGTAGTGTGCACTGCCTGCTGTTGGCTCTGGACGGGATTACGCATGCGGCCGCTGCGGTCCCGTCCGGCATCACATATCCGTCCATGAACTCCTGCAGCCGTCCCTCCAGTTGTTCCTGGAGCTTGCAGGAGGCTGCCTGTTGCAGTGCGGCCGCAGGCGTCCGTCGCTTGGTTGCCCCTTCCAAGCAGAGGTGGAGCTCTGGTGGCTGGTGGTGAGGCGGCGGAGAGGTAACCGGGACTGGTGGATCCGGGACCCTCTGGTGGTACAGCAGACAGAGGCCTCCCATCCGTGATCCTGGCTGGCTGCGGAGACGCTCCAGGAGCGCCCTGCCGTCGGTGGCGCGGTGAAGGCGGTCGATGTGGCCCAGCGCACGTTGGAGCATACGCAACATCAGGGGTCACTCTCCCGCCTCAGCGAGAGTCGCTGCCACCAGCGAGCTTTTGGGAAGCCCCAGGATGGCCCTCAGTGCACCTCTGTGGAATCCCTCCAGCAGGCTTCTCCTGGCCGGTGTCAGGTTCACCAACGGGAAGGCGTACAGGAGGACCGAGGACGTTGCAGCCTGGTTAAGCCGGAGGGCCCACTTGGTGGAGCAGCCGCGGCCACGCAGCTGCAGCCTGCTGATGGCACCCTGGACGCGCCGCACCTTGGTTGCACCAGCCTTGGCAGCCGGGATCCACGTGAGCCGGTGGTCGATGGTGAGCCCCAGGTACTTCACCAACAGCCTCCAAGGCAGGCTGCGGTTGCCAACCCTCAGACGTCTCACGTGGGTGCGAGCTGCCGCCAGCGGGTGAATCAGCAGGGCCTCGGTCTTGGTGGCAGAGACCTTAAGCCCGATGCCTCCAAGGTAGGTTATCACTGCATCGAGGGCTGCCTGCGGTGATCTCCTGATGGCTGGGATGGACTGCCTTGGTCCCCGGACCCAGAGTGCCCCGTCATCTGCGTATACGGAGCAGCGGGCCGGGAACCTGGTGTCTGTTGGGAGGGACGCCGGACGTCCTGCTAGTGTCATGTTAAAGAGGAAGGGGCTCAGTACTGAACCCTGTGGGACACCAGCAGTGATGTTCCTGGGTTGGCTGGTTGCCCCTCCAACACGGACACGGAAGGTCCTCCCGGACAGGAAGGCGGTCACGAAGCCTCGGAGGCTCCCGTTGATGCCGAGGCGGTCCAGGGCCGCCTCGACCGCCACGTGTGGGAGTCCGTCGAAGGCACTCTCCACGTCCAGCAGCAGCAGCATGGCCACGTCCCCGCTGCTCCTGGCGTCCTCGAGGGTAGCGACGACGTCCGAGATTGAATCTGCCATGCACCGGTGTCGTCTGAAGCCCCTCTGCTGCTCCGGGAAGAATCCCGAGTGGTCGGCAATCCACTCCAGTTTCTCTAGAGCCACCCTCTCCGTCACCTTGCAGGGCGCGGAGGTGAGACAGACCGGCCGGTATGAGGAGAGAGCCGTGGCCTTCCTCCGGGGCTTCAGAATTGGCGCCACCACCGCAGTTCGCCAGGACTCGGGTAAGACTCCGGTGCACCAGACGTCGTTGTAGTACCCCAGGAGTCGTTCACGGCCACCTCCATGCAGGTTGCGGAGCATTTGGAAGGTGATGCCGTCGGCCCCTGGAGCACTTTGTCGCTTGGTCCTCTCGAGGGCCGCCACCAGCTCGTGTATCCATATGGGCTCTTCGCACAGCTCCCGCACCTGCGCGGACACTCATCTGGGATGATGGCAGGAGGTAGGACAAGGGAGGGCAGCAGGCGGTGGTGCAGCAGGCAGTGGGGCTATGTCTCCGCAGCAAACTGGTCAGTCAGCCATTCTGCCAGGTTCGCAGTTGTGATGAACAGGTGAACAGCCAGGGACAGTCCCTAGTTTAAGGCCTGGGGCGCCATCAGCAGGCACTTCAGCAGGCGCCAGGCCTTGGTCCCATCACGCGAGCGCTTGGTCCCATCACGCGAGACGCACACGCCCTGCCAGCCCTGATTCCGGCGCCTGCGTGCGTGGCGTCTGCAGACGGCATCGATTCGCCGGAAGACCGTCCAGAGCTCCGGTTGGGCCTTGTTCAGGGCTTGCCGCTCTGCACGTCGCCGTGTCGCCCTCAGAGCCAGGTGCCGGATGTCCGGGACCGGCTGTCCCTGCTGGACCTTGGCAGTGACTGTTGCTGCCCTCGCACTGTAGGCCACCAGTTGCAGCAGGTCCCCGCTGCTCGTGTCCTGCTTGAGTAGCCGCCGGTAGACCTGCCAATCCACCACGCGGTACTCGCGGTCCCGTGGAGCCCTACCTCTGAAGGGGGACAGCAGGGTGGGCACGTGGTCCGAGCCCCAGGTGTCCGGGAATGGCGACCAGGCGTACTGGCAACCCACCGTGGCCACGCTGAGATCTATGGCAGTGCTGGTGGCCTGGTGTCCGCGACGGAGGAAGGTGTTGGCACCCGAGTTCAGGATCGCCAGCCCCAGCTGCTGGAGGATATCACGCACCTCTCTGCCTCGAGCGTCAGTCCTGCAGCCGCCCTAGGCTGGGTGTTTGGCATTGGCGTCGCCGCAAAGCAGGAACTCCCTGCCCAGGCGATGCGACAGCTGACGGAGGCATCTGGGGTCCCAGGGCTGGCCCGGCCGAACGTAGATGCTGGCCACAGTGGTGTCCTGCCCCCCCGATATAGATGCGGACGGCGCAGCATTCAAATGGGCCTCCAACCAGGTCAGCCACCTTCGCCTCTGCCTGCAGGAGCTCCCGCTTGGCGTAGACCGCTCACCGGGAACGCCCTTGCTGGTGGCCGTCATTCAGGCAGGGGGCATTATGGCAGGTCGCCAGGATGCAGCCAGTCCCGCTGCTGTATCCAACATACCCCGGCAGGCGAATGTCCTCCGCCCGGGCATACACCTCCTGCAGTGCAAGCACGTCATAATCGCTCCGCAGAAGGTGCTTTGCCAGGTTGTCTTTCCGCCGCCCCAGCCAGTTGACGTTCCACTGAAGAACGCTTGGGCGGCGGCCTCGGCTCGTTCCGGGCGGGGAGCTAGCCATCATTGGCTGTGGGGAGCAGAGAGCCTCCCGTCTGTAAACAGATGGCTCGAAGGGGGTGGTCCAGAGGAAGTGACTCTCCCACAGACCGCAGGGTGTGCAGCAGGGTGGCGATGATTTGGTAGGCCGGGTCCGCTGGAGGCAACGCTACTGTCGCAGCAGGCGGGGTCACAGAAGCCGTGGGCACAGCAGGCTGGCCTCCGGGGACAATAGCAGCAGGCTGGGCCGCGAGAGTGACAGTTGCAGCAGGCGGGCCCTCAGGAACAGCAGTGACCGCCGGCAGGGCCATAGGGGCAGCAGTGCCAGTGAACTGCTGTCCCTGGAGTGGCTGGCGACGATATTTGCGAGGCGCCAGGATGGGTCTGGCCGGAGGCGGGGGCGCTGAAGGGTGGCCCTTCACCACGCTCGCAAAGTTCCGCGCCTCCTGAATCTCCTCTCGCACAGCCGCTGCCACTGCACGCCTCGAGAGGATGGTTCGGGAAGATATCATGATAGTGGCACCTTCCGCTGCTCCTGCCACCGGGGGCACTCCGGGGTGTCTGTAGAGTGTGGGCCCCCGCAGTTGACACACCGAGGCCGGGTCTGTTTGCAGCTCTCTCCCGGGTGGGTCCGGCCACATCTGATGCAGCTGCCTGGCCAGCTGCAGCTCTCCTTGACATGGCCGAACCGGCCGCATTGGCGGCACTGCAGGGGGCGGGGTCTGGCTGGCCGCACTAGGAAGCGTACCAAGAAGAGTGACACGTGCTCCGTTGGCACAGGGCCGGCGAAGCGGAGCGTCACGGTTCGCCCCTCCCTGACAGCAGAGTGCTCCGGGACGGCCGACTGGATCCCAGGCAGCAAGCTGTCTGCCACAGCCTCCCCGTCGACACCGTGTAGGAACCCCGTGCTGGTGCTGTGGTCAGCGGGTTCCTTGGCAGTGACAGGGATCCCCTTTAGCTCCTTAATGGTCAGGAGCTGCTCCAGGCACTCTCGCGTGGTGGCGTCAGCAGCCACAATGTTGCGTTTTTGATTTACGCGAATTGCGGCTACGCCGGGCCTTGCAGAGAGTGCCTGTGCGAGGATCAGGCGTGGGAATCCACTGAAGGTACCTCCGGGGGCCGACGGCCGGAAGAGAACAGTACCCACAATGGAAGGGTCGACCGGGAGGGCAGCAGCAGCAGCAAGGTCCCTGGCACGGCGTCGGGCACTTCTGGTAGTGACACCCTGGAAGCCCTCTGTGTCTGAGGGACTCCCCGCTGCACTGCTGTGCCTCGTTGTGGTGTCTACTGCAGTGGGGGCCTTGCCGAAAGGTTGGGGGAGGTTGGCAGCCATGCCCTCCGATGCAGTAACTGGGGGTTGCTTCTTGGTCGGCTTCTTCTTTCTCTTCTTTCTGTGGTTGGTAGGTGTGGCCCCCGCTGACGGTGTAAGGAGAAATTCTTTCGCCATATAAGGGGCTTCATTTCAGGAGTTGCCCCCTGTAGTCGTACTGGTAAAAACTTCCTTCACCACCTCCATGGAAGCTGAAGCGTCAGGGGGTGGGTTGTCGGGAGATTCGGTGGTCTTTCTGCTGCAGGGGCAGGTAGGGTGCGCTCTACTGCTTGGGGAGAGGTTGCTGGCAAGGGCAGTCCTTTTGTGTGTGGGGAGGGAGGGCAGGGGTCCCCAGGGGCCAATAGGTCGTCCGTTGAGGCGGTAGTAGGGAGTTGGCAAGTGCCTGCACCATCCGAGCTCGTGGAGTCCGTGCCGCCTGTTGTGGCAGATGATGTCATGTCCGCTGTGGTGGACGCCACTTCGGAATCCACCGTGGTTCTGCACATACTCCCGGACAACTCCTCTGAGCCCCGAGAAGTGTGTGATTCCTCTTCAGAGGATTCGGAGGGGGTAGTGGCCATTTGCATTCGTGGTGCGTGGTCGTCCTCGTCCCCAATTTCTTCCCGCAGCCTCTTCCGTGAGTTTGAGAAGTCCATTGCCTCGTTGTCCTCATCAGAGCTGAGAGGTAGGGGAACGCCAGCAGGCCCCTGTGTCTGCCCAGTAGCTTCGGTCTGCATGGGGCTTTGTGGCAGCTCCTCTGCAGTTCTGGTGGCACAGTCACCACTGGTGGCAAGTGCGGCCCCACTGGCGCACTGGGAGGCCAGCATGGGGGCCTCTGTGGGCGCGACAGGATTGGTCTGCAGCCACTTTTCCACTACGGCTTGAATGCTGTCGGTCGCAATCTTTTCGAAGAACAGATAGCGGTGTGCCTGGACCTTGTTGGTCGGGAGGCTCTCCGATCTTCGGTGACAGAAAGGGCGCCTTGTGGGGTCCTCAGAAGTTGGGGCAGGAACTGGAGTGCTCTCTGCTGATGGGGATGCCGCGATGGGCGAGCGGGCGTCGGGGAAGGGCCTTGGCGAGTGCATCGTCACACTCGCGCACGTGTTCACAGGGATGCACGACACCGCTCAAGAAAACACTCCGCAATTAGTGCAAAAAAAAAGAAAGCGCGTCTATGCTACGCGCTAGGAGCCGCGTCCCTACACCACGACACACGCCGGTCGGCCGCGTACAACACGCGAAGTGAAAGAGAATTAATTCACTAACCAGCAGTGTGAAGTGTGGGGGGTTCCGGGGCACTCCATGGCAGGTTAATCCGACAGGAGTTCAGGGTTGAAGCCCGTCACTGACGCCGTAGCGAACGCATTGCTGCGGAAGAGCCGTACTCCCGACGAGCGCGGCCCGCGAGCGACCGCACTCAGCGAGAGATGGGGAGCCGGTCCTGATGAGAATCGCCGAGCTCGAGACTGCGTTGGCGACAGAGCAAGAGAAAAACGGCCCACATTTCAGAGTCGTACGACTGCGACTGCCCTGCGAACGGCCCCTATTCTCTTTCTGCTCTTGCAGCCATGGCCATCACGTTCTTCCAAACCTTCTCCTCCTTCCTACTTCTAAACTCTTTTCTTCACCCCCCCCCCCTCCCTTCAGGCTACTGAGCCCTGCTCTGGAAAGAAAAGATAGCGTCTTTTTTTCCTTTTCTTCAACCTCAGATTCATCCATTCAGGAGAAGCTTGCATGCAGTAACTGGTTTGGAAGGCAGGTAAGGTTCGCGGAAACTCACCTCACCTTGAGCTACCGAGCACAATACAAAGCTTAGCCGAGAGTCGTAAGAAGGCTAGATTACACAGCAAGATAAAAAGAGAAGATATTTTGCCTAATGAAGTATTGCGAAATCTACTGGGGCAACCCTTACCTTTACCACCGTTCCCACTTCTATTTGTACATTGAAGTAATAAAAAAAGTCCAACCAAACATATTAAAAGAGCGACGTTTTGAAGTCAATCTCTCACCCCTGAAGAAGAAGCCGGAGCAGCTTCGAAACATCGAGTTTTTATTTCTTAAATAAATTTTGGTTGGAGTTCTCATTCCTTCAGTTTCTATCCAAAACAGACAAGCTTATGTCGAATGTTCACCTTTGATTCCTGTCGTACATTATTTCCTCGCTGCTTCGACAAACCCCCTCACACCGAAACATTTAGAGAAGCAATGACAGGTGCGCAAACGTAAACAGCCCCTCTTCCTTCTTGGGCGCTTATAGCTCTGGTGTGCGTGTGTGTGCGCGGGAGGGGGGGTAGAAAGAGGAGTATTGAAAGAAAAAAAACGTTGCATCTTGTTTTTTTTATTTTTTGAAGCAGGTAGCTAACGACCTAGTCATTATTTTCCTTTTGAGGAAGCAGCATACAATACAACACAATCATGCATACTTAAAAGATGCAAACACAGGCGCTGTATTGCAACTGATGAGTTAGTGTCGAGAGACTCAGCTTATGTAGGATAACACGAACATGTGAACTAACACCAGTGCATCCAATGAAGACAAGTTTTTCTAGTAGTGTTTTGCAGGAAGACTTGATGAATAATGAACCATGAATGCACCTTATCTGATACGAAACTCGGGACAGGTAACATACTTTTTAAAGAACGCGACCCTGTCAAGTCATGGTTCTCAGATTTTCTGCTGAGAAAAATTTTATATTACAGCATTCCGTACAATGACCAAATTACAAGCGTGGGTGAATGTGTATACCAGCATAGTATCACCAAATTTCAAAATAGCACAGGTATTTACAGCAGCCAATTCATATGGTATTTATTGCATTTAGTGCTATCAGCGCGCATGTGCCTGTCGCGAAAATTGCATGTAATGTCAAGTTTCTCTTAATATCAATATTTAGAGGCAGTGAAAATAACTTGTTTTTGTATGTTGAAAGCTATTATATATATATATATATATATATATATATATATATATATATATATATATATATATATATATATTGTGGGCATTTAGTATACGCATCCTCTTCACCGGTACATTATCATCATTATCAAGTGTGGCTCATGCATCCTCATCGTTGTCGCGTAGCATCATCATCTTGGCTCATTCATCGTAGCTGTCGGCTGCCGGTTCCTCGGGCCTAATTAAAGGTAATCCAAACCAAGACTTCATACGTGGTGGAGAGCGCTGTTAGATCCCCCGCCATCCTCTCGACCACTCTACCCCCTGGAGCTACGTTCAGGTCGCCGCTTGGGCCAGGTGTCCGGAAATATGTCGCACCAAGATGAGGCCGGTGCTGCAGCCGTTCCCACTCAACCACCGCGTGCCGCGCCTTCTCACGTCATCAACAGCCTCCAGCGTGAGCCCCATCCCTTTGCTGGTATGCGCGGGGAAGATGTGGAAGAATGGCTGGACGATTTCGAACGTGTCGGCGATGCTAACCGGTGAGATAACACCTACAAACTCGCTCACGTGTGATTCTACCTCACGGGTGTCGCGAAGACGTGGTTCCTCAACCACTTCATCGACATCCCCGACTGGTCAGCCTTCAAAGATCAGCTTTGCCATGTCTTTGGCACACCGGCTGTTCGTGCGGCTCTCGCAAAGAAAGCTCTCGCGACTCAGAAACAGCACATCGGGGAGTCGTACACATCTGACATCGAGGATGTTCTTGCACTTTGCCGCCGGGTTGACACACCAATGACAGAATCAGACAAGGTGCGCCAGCTTCTTAAGGGGATTGCACCCGTCGCATTCAATTCCTTTGCTATCCAGAATCCGGCTACCGTTGCTGACGTTGCGACAACCTGTCAGCGCCTCGAAGAACTTGAGTCTGTGCGCCTACAATCAGATAGTGACGCGGCCCGTATTACGACTGATCCAAACCTGCGAGACACGATAAGGGCGATTATACGTGAAGAATTAGAATCAATGGGATTCACACTACCCTCAGTGTGTCCCGTTCAGTCCACTTCAGCGTCATTGCGGGATGTCATCAGGGAAGAGCTCACGTCCATGACCCACATGGCCAACCTGCAGCCCATTGTCTCTCGTACTCTACCATCGTTCCCGCACACCGCCGCCGCACCACCAGGCACCGTCAGCTCGACGTCCCAGCCACGAACGTACACGTCGGTTGCTGCCGCACCTCCCACAAGCTTTCCCACGAGCTTTTCATCACCACCGCGTGAGCCGTCACCTGTCCCTCTGACTTCTCTCTCTCCTGGTGCAGTTAGCGCAAGCTACTACCCTCCTCATCGATCGACTCGGCCTACGTGCTATTATTGCGGCTATCGTGGTCACATTGCACGCTTTTGCCGCAAGCGCCAGCAAGACGAGCGCCGAGGGTATGACATACGCGAACGGGACTATACCGTAGGAGCCTTGTACCAGGGCCGCCGTTATTCGTCACCGCCGCGTCAGTGTCCATCTCCACCAGCATCGGGTGAACTGCGCAGTAGTCACCGATCAACCCGACGCCGTTCACCGTCGCCTTACCGGCGTTCTTCTTCTCCTCTTCAGCCTGCTTCCATTACTTCTGATCGGCGTCCGGAAAACTAAGCGATGCAGTTTTTGGAGGACAAACTGCATTCCAACACAGGACTCCAATTCCTCCAGCGCGCCCCTACAATATGATTGCGGTCACAGTTGAGGGAGTGGACGTTGATGCTTTGGTGGACAGTGGGGCTGCGTTTTCTGTTATTCGTGCTGATTTGTGTACCCGTATTCGAAAAGTCACGACGCCTTATGATGGACCGACACTGGTTACAGCCCAGGGAACAATGATTCGCCCTTCCGCTCTCTGTACTGCCCGTGTACTAATCGACGAAATTCTTCATCATATAGAATTTGCTGTGCTATCCCCGTGCTCCCATGAACTCATTTTAGGCTGGGACTTTCTTTCCTCTGCTTCTGCGGCTATTTGCTGTGCACAACGTGTCGTCCATCTTACTGACACGGACCACTTGCTCAACGACGAAACCTACAGGCCACTTCGACTCATAGCTGCAGTAGACATGGAGTTACCACCAAACGAACATCAATTAGTGACAGTTTTGTCCAACGACGTCGACTCTGGTGACATTTTGGTCACTCCGTCACCGTGTTGCCTTAATAAAGGCATAGCTCTGGCATCAGGTGTGGCTCGCTTCAACAATGAATCAACTGTCCTCGCTGCTACCAACACCACACAAGATAAAATTTTACTGCCACGGGGCACTACTGTTGCCTACGTTGCCGATCTGCAGCCTGTGTGCGTTGTGTCTCTTACCCCTGTCTCCTCTAAAGGCCATTCTGCAGATCATGCTGCTTCCTCGGTCTTTACAGCAGCCATCAACAAAGACTTGAATGACCCACAGAAGCAGCAGCTGCTTGATTTGTTGGAAAAGCATGCAAACTCCTTTGACGTTCATTCATCCAGCCTGGGCCAGACAACTGCTACAGCACATCGTATTCAGACCGACGAAACATGCATTGTGCACCACCGTCCGTACCGCGTCTCTCTAGCTGAACGAAAAATCATTGAAGAAAACGTAGACGATATGCTCCAACGGGAGATAATCCGACCCTCAACCAGTCCTTGGTCGTCGCCCATCGTTTTGGTACGTAAAAAAGACGGTTCCGTACGATTTTGTGTCGATTATTGAGCACTCAATAAGATCACTAGAAAGGACGTATACCCCATGCCACGCATCGACGACGCCCTAGATTCCTTACAGGGGGCTGAATAATTTTCGAGCCTCGACTTGCGTTCCGGTTATTGGCAAATCCCCATGCACGAAGATGATAAAGAAAAAACTGCGTTTGCAACCCCGGACGGCCTATACGAATTCAATGTTATGCCGTTCGGTCTATGCAATGCGCCCGCAACTTTTGAGCGCATGATTGACACCGTGCTGCATGGCCTGAAATGGAAGACTTGCCTATGTTACCTCGATGACATTGTTGTCTTTTCAACGACGTTTCCTCAACATCTGCAACGCTTGGACGAGGTCCTGACTTTTCTTGCGGGCGCTGGTCTTCAAATTAACACCAAAAAGTGCCATTTCGCCAGCAGATCTATCAAGGTACTCGGTCATGTTGTGAGCA